TTTCGAGCGGATGGTCGTTGGTCTCGGTCGTTGATGTGCGCCCGGTTGCTTGAGCGGTAAGAGCGTCTTCGGTGAACCAGGAACTGCTGCGACACTGGGCCGCTATCACGGCGAAAGCGTCGTGGTGGATTTGAGGTAACTACGATGTTGCGCCGTCGACGTCCGAGGCTGATGTTGAGGAGCTGCTGAGGTACGGCTACGCTGCAACATACTCCCCGCAAGGAGCATGGTTCCCGTCGTCCGGGTCTCCTCCTCGAAGGAGTTTGTAACTCCTCCCCGTCGTCTCGTACTCCTGAGGACGGAGCTTGTGCTCCTCGGTGTCGTCTCCTGTTGCCTTCGTATGGCTCGCTTCAGGTGTGTCGTCGTCGGATGCAAATTAAAAGTCCACCCACTGTGCTCTCTACTTATAGGAGACTTCTTTCTATGTGTTGCGTGAGGATGAGCTTAATTTCCTCGAAAAGTCGCGAGGCTCGCGCTTCCCCGAATTTCGTCGCGCTTCTCGAAAACGCGGCGCTCGTCCGCTGTAAGGTGCGCTCCATATAAGGCATCTCCCGTTATTTTAAATGCCCTGTGCATCTCGCTTGCTGAGACGCCACAAAATTAATTAGATAATAAAACAATAATAACTATTTAAATAATTTTTATTATTTAATAATAATTATTAATATTATTACTTATTTAAATAATCAATCAGATAAAAATAAGTTCAATTTTTAAATTTCTAATCTTTTTCAATATCAATATATCACTTTAATGTCAATATATACATATATCAGTATCAATTAAATCAAGTTATATTAACTCAACCAAGTTTAACTCAAAATCTTTAGTAATATCATATTAACAAAAATTTAATACTCAATATTTCAATGTCAATATCACACTTCTTGTTTTTCTTCAAAATATTCAACATATCAATATTACCTTCAACCAAGTTTATTCATTAAGTTTAATTAAATTTAATTTAAAATATTAATCAAATATAATCAGTAAACCAATCCAGTTCCATAAATGTCAATTACATCATTAACCAATTAATTCACTTCAAAATCAACCAATAAGTCCAAAAACTCAATTCAAAATCAGCCAATAAGTCCAATAAATCCAAAAACTCAATTCAAAATCAAACAAGAAATCTAACAAATCCAAATCTCTTTCTCTCCCCTTCCTCCGTTCCTCCCTCTCTCCCTTCCCCCTTTGTCTTCGGTCCTCACGCTCTTACGCTCTCTCACTTTCTCGCTTTGTCACTCTCTTACCTTCTCACTTGCCCTTTTGCGCACTTGTTCTCTTGCACTTTCTCTCTCTAACACTTTTCTCCCTTATCTTCCTTATCTTCTTTAACATAAAAGTACTGAAAGTATTTATAATGTCAAATACAGACTAAATTAAATTTGTGTACATTAATTATTCGTACAAATGACAAATATTTACCTCTCTATGAAGGATCTCCTTCTTATCTCTTTTTCTCTTCTTTGTTTTTTCTTTCTTCATTTCGTTTTCTCCTTCTTCGTTTCCCTCTCTCTTTTTCTCTCTCTTTCAAAAACAATTTCTTCTCTATCTGTCTGTAGGTCTCTTGTTGGAAAAAAATTTTGGTAAAGAAATTAGCTATGTGCGTTAATTTTCTTACACAGGATAAACTATTAAAAATGCATAACATAACCGCGATGATAACCGCTCGCGCGAGACAGCCATAAATTTATTATAATAAATTTAGTATTTGAAATAAAATATATACCTCTTTTTCTTTACCGCTCCTTCTTTATTCTTCTTTCTATATCTTCTTATAGCGACTAACAACTTCAACATGCGTATAACTTTGTGCTGTCAAATTCACTCAAAACGAACCACGAAGCGAAGTCGCATCGAGATCGAGATAACCAATCAACATCATGCAAAAGAGTCAACAATGCTTACGATATGAGGCAATTTAAAATTGCAATTTATTATTTAAAATTAGCGTTACATTTCCTTTTTACTATTTGGAACTAAATTATTTGGAACTGTCAATCTATCGATAGCGAGACGGAAAAGTATACTCTGCGTCAGTCTGACATTTTAGCGGAGCAAGAACGCCGTTAGAAACGCGAGAAAGCCGATATAAAGAAAACGGAACTGATCTATTTTTCAACTGATCTTTTATCGGTAACTACCCCGACTTTATAACTTTAAAAAGTCTCTTCTATTTGTATCTCTATCGAGTTACGTTACTTTTTAAGGTGGCGATTCAAAAGTCATTGAAGTGGCAATTAATTGCCGAACGGACTGTGCCCACTCGTAATTCTCCACGGCCACCTGCCCGATGTGTTAAACAGCCACTTGCAATTTATTATTTAGACGAGGCCCTGAAGCGGCGGCGCCGCAAATAGGATGGAGCGAGCGGTGATCGAGTGCCCCTATGCGTTTTCCAGGAGTGCCACGTAGACGGGTAGGTAGTTACATCCGTTTCAGAGCCGGGGAAACATCCCCCTCAATGAGACGATGCGGTTACGTAGTTACTTCTCGCCCCGGCACTGTTCTCTTGACTGTACTTACGTGTCCCGAACAGGTTACAAACGACGGGCGCGGTATTACAACCCGCAAATTACGCGTCCTACCCTCCTCTCGCGCGCTCCAACTGCAACGCAAATGTGCCGGTCCGAGAATGGTGGATTACGCGCTCGACTGCGAAAGCTCCAACTACGAAAGCTGCGTCCTTCTATCACGTCTGAGTGGTGTGTGAGATCAGTTGATGTCTCCGAGACACAAGGACACTTCATTAGTAAACAGACAGTGGCAGAAACAATCGTGGAGGCATATTGGATATTTCGTGAAAAAGCCGATCCATAATCGAGGTATATGCGTGAAAATAAATTGTATTACTTATAATTTCAGCGTTCTAAAATTTACTCTCGTACATACGCACATTTGCGCGTGACACACACGTAAAATATATATTTATGGTAGCAAAATTGTTTTTAAAACTAACAAGAGTAATAACAAAAGTATTTCTGAAATAATTGTGAAACATTATCAATATCATTGCATTACGACTGGTTATAGTAATATTGTGCAAATGGAACAAGAATTTAAAAATAATTTCAAACAAATGAAAATTTAAATGTCAGGGATACATAATCTCACGTAAACGTCGCGACGGGGGAGAGCTTCTTCCGTTCATAAATTATAATATTCGCGAACCACCCTCGTCGTTAAGCGAATGCGCGTTTCCCGCGTTGCACGAAATTCATTTACGGAATTAATACTACGGATTTGCTAAATGAAGAATTACTGCATGTCGCGCATTCGCCTTAATTGCGCGAACAACAATATTCGCGTTGAGGTCTGCTTTGCGAGTTTATACATTGCTATTCTTTCGCTTTCCAATTAGCGCAACCGGTTGCGATCAATTAGTATATTTCCCCTATTCTCTGCGCTTTCTCAAAACGTTGACAATGCAAAATAGATTATTTCTAATAAGCAATTTCTCTTGAAATTAACCATTCTTGCATCTTGAAACATTTGGTATAAGAAAGCGCATTGTCTCATAAATAAGTTAGTCAGAATCCATAAATTGAATGACAGAGTAATAAAAATATCCACAAATTTTCAAACAATTTCACAAACGTGTTTTCAGAAAAAACAAACTATTCACTGCAATAACACGTTTACATATGTATATTATAAAGATACGCAAAACAATGCAGATAAAAAAATAGATGTGCAAAAATTTCATTTTGCATTGCGGTTTAATTTTCCGGAATGTTGGGCACGCAGGATTCTGCGCGTGTATCCAAAATCCTCATTTCGCTCCGAGGCGATTCTTTTCGCCTTCTCGGTTCGTAATAATGCGGTAAAAGGAGCGTATTACGTCGTTTGATTAATTAATTTACGCCGACGTTGCGCCGGATTACGAACCCCCGGGCTGGATATTCCCGTCCTGTCTGACTCAAATCTCGCGAAGAAACGAAGTAAACAAACGTTCCCTCCCGCATTTCCAACTGCCGTTATGCATCTAATGGCATTAACATTAACCAGAACGACGGTTGTGCAGGCAAGCAGGTAATTGCATCGTGTAAATTTGCTAAACAGCGAGACACCGCCGTTTCACCAAAGATACAATAAATATGCTTTTTTCCACTTGAGAATGGGGCTTTTATTGCTTGAAATATGTGTAAAAACACGATCAAGCTGTTCGCGTATCATTATTACTTGACTGGCATAATCTTTTAAAATTTCTGTTTTCGAGATAAAATTTAGCAGTTATGTCGTTGAGAATAAATCGAGTTGACGTAAAATTCGATAAAGAATCTCACTTTCATTATTTATTACCCGTTATCCAGCTTTCGACAATTTCTTCCTTTATTAAGATCGACGCGCTATTAAATTTCAATGCGATTTATATGATAATACTTGAAGCAATTTCGAGAACTTCCGGTAAAACAAAGGAAGAAAAAGGAGAGAGTGATTGAGGATCCGAAGGATCACAGTAAGAAAGACAAAGGAATCGTCTCTACCGCGTTGCTGGACACGGTTCCTGAGATAACTATGAATAATCGAGGAAAAGGAGGGAGAGGGAGGGTGACGCGCGAGGAGACGTTCCACTTCGAAGAGCTATTTTCTTTGTCGAAAAGGAAGACGCAGTATCCGCAGCATCGAGGTGCGAGGAATCGAGCATTAGTTTTTGCGAATGTGGGACTCGAGGGACGAGTTGCATCCACGATGCGTCTTCGTGGCTGCGCCATATTTCACGGTGTGAGGTCTGCGAGTTCGCATTATCAGGAGGGTCTGCTAGTTTCGGCGAGGTGAGGCGAGGTAAAGATTTGTAGGGCGGTGAGAAATGCAGGAGAATGTTCCCTATTACGCGTTGCTGTAACAAACGACGGCAACAACTACAGTTGATACTAATCGAGAAAGTCGATGTTCTCCAGCGGACTGCAATTAATGTTAATATTAGACAGAGTACAATCATGGCACGTGGGAGGCAAAATGGGAATCGAGTATAGATCTGAATTCCACAGAAGTGTTTTTCGGTATTAAGTATTTATTACATACAAGCATTTTTTACAATATGAAGTATTTGTTTTTTTAGACATGACTGATGATATTTAGCATTTTTTTTTTCGTTATTGTATATTTAGAAATGCGCGTTGTCTCGTATTCTATTATTATTATTATTATTATTATGTATTCTTATAGAGTAGTTTTAATAGTCTCAACCAAATCTAATAGAAATAGTATAAGTGTACACGTGACGCAAGGGTAATATACGGTGTCCGAACGGTTAATAAATATATCTGTCGGGAAAAAAAGAACTAATAAATATAAGTTTGATACACAATAACTTGTAACGAATGAGGTGACTGCGATTCGTTACAGCTTTAAAATTTTTACAAGACAAACGCAGAGACGATTTTTCTCATGGGAGAAACGGACGATAAAACGTGTCAATAAATCTGTCGCTTTGCACGGTTTCGGGCTTTACGCTTTTCGTCTTTTTTCCTTCTCAACGATCGGGATATTCTCGGTGCGTGAATAACGACTCGCGATGCAACATGCGTCTGTACAAACAAGCTCGCTAATAACTCTTGATAAAAATACATATCATTCATGAATGAGAAAATATATCGATCATTTGCGAATGGGAAAATCTGCTTCGACACACCCGAAAACAACGTTATGCAACAGTGAACGAGAATATATCTCGAATATAAACGGAAACGACGCTGACGAGAAAATCTCAGCTTACACCACATGCAGCTCAATAAACCCTTTACTGATTACAATAAAATGCGATTAAAGTAAAGAGCAGATGGAAAGGGGGAGGATGAAAATTGCGTGCGCGTGTGGCGCAAACGTACGAGAGAAGAGTCGCATAACAAACGGGGTATACATAAAAGTCTATACACTAATCCTATCTTTTCTCTAGTGTCGAAAGTTCTCTCGACCATGCGTCCCGAATAGAATCGGGATAACAGAAATGTGTTCTTACTTTTTCATCCATGTTACAAATAATCTGTCGCCGGCTTTATAATCGGCACCCTAACGGTGACATCGCGCACGAAAAGACGAGCGTAAAATGCAAAGCATGCTCCCGATATCCACGTTTGGTAATGTCTTTACGGCGCGAATAATGGCGTGATTACATTTTGCATCTTTCGTACCTTCGAACATTACAGCGATATTCGGCTTCGCGCTCCACATTCACGCTATCGATCTTGCTATCGCGAGCTTGCGATCGTCGTGCTTTTCTTCGTCGAATGAAACGCGATTAGTCTCGCGCGACCGTCTGTAATATATCTCTCGCGCATACAACTCTTACAATTAACGCTACTGGATCATCACTCCGTTAACTTATGCAGCGGCTATCTCACAAAGCAATCAGCGTCATCGTCATCATCATCATTATTTTCATCCACCATCATTATCATCATCACAGCTAGAGAATTTATGTTAGATCCACGAAGAAACGTAACAATAGTGACGTCTAGCAAATACCTAGAGTATACCAATGTTAAGTAGGCCCTCTAAACGATATACGATAAAAAATAAAAGGAAAAAAAGAAAAAAAGTAATAAGATTGCTTGACTAGTGAGCGCACGCCTCGAAATCTGGTATGGAAGAAAAGTGCTCTTTCTCTTTGCTCTTTCTCTGTCTATTATTTTCCCCTATGCTGTATCCGCAAAATATTTCTCTCTCTCTTTCTTTTTTTTTTCATATTCATGGACGCGATTACGCGCTTGAATCCGATTATCGTGAAGTTGTAACTACCTAGGTAGTACTTTATGCTATCTCTTACGTTAGGGAGATTCTCTAATTCATCGGAGCTCGATTCCTACGTCGTTTTGGCAGATACGTTTTCAGAGTTTATCTGATTTCGGTATCATCGCTTGTGATTCTTTCCTTTTCATATCTTGTGCTACATTTTTTCGTCATTTATACTGTATATCTTCCGCGTGACTCTCGATATCTTCTATTATCGCTAGCTGATTTCTGTTTTGAAAATTTTAATTGTTTACACGCGGGTGTGAATATACTTGTGGGGGATAAGAGCGAAATCGTGTATGTGTCCATATGATTGCATGTACGTATGTGTGTCTGTGTATGTGAATATGTGAGAAATTAATTTCGATTCGTTACCGTAAAATACGCCCGTGTATCCGAAAATGATGTGTTACAAACAGGCCTCATCCCTTTCCGAAAGTCCTTTAGAAAGTTATATTTATCTAATAGCATACTACGACACACAGACTGAGTGTCCACACTTGCTGTTGAATAATATTATTAATTAACATTAGATATTATATATTACACTTCCTTTTTCCCGGTAATAATTCTCAGAGCTCGGCACGATCGTGGGCCCACGGATGGTCAGTCCGATGCGGCGCCCTTCTCTGTTCACTTCATCTAGATATTTCCTCTACAGACGATACATCGCGCGACAGCGGTTATTTACATTATCGTAAACGATTTGTCTCGTTCTGAGTATAGCTATTGCTCGCCACGAGCAATTTGGTTATTGATTACCGAACTGCTCCTCTTCTGCTTGTCCGGGAGAACGTTCGAGTGACACTTTATGACAAAAGATCTGCGGACAAAGAGAGAAGCGAACAACACTTAGCCTACTTTCGAATTAAGGTGTATGATATGTCAGTCCATTTAGCCGCACATAACATATAACACAGCTTGCTACATGACTAACGAGACACTAATTATGATCAATTGACCCTTTTTCTCTAAGAAACTCGCAGATAAAAAGTGTCAATATAGATTTGACTTGAGCATTCTGACTAAATCGACGAGCAATGTAACTTTAAAGCCAGCGGCATACGGTGCTTGTTTTCGGATTACTTGCTGGATGGAAATACTTTGTTTTGATTGGTGTATTTCCATTCATCTTCAGAAATGCACCAATCAGCAAGCAATCCAGCATGCATGAAAACAAGTACCGTGTGCCGCTGGCTTAAGATATCAAATGACTGAGTTGGTTCACATACCTGGTACCTGATTATTATCTTGCGGTTTGTTGTTGATGAAATTGTCCTGGAACGGATTGACATTGGCGTTAGCGGCGGCGGGCACGAACGTATTACCCATCGGAGTAAAAGGCATCGCCGCCGGATTTAGATTAGAGTTGAGGGTATCCTCGTTCGCCAGATTGGGCGTCAGTTCGAGTATCGGCCCGGTATTGTAGCCGCTACTGTTATTACTCAGAGTGTCGAACTCCGACAGGTCTAACAGGTTGTTGGTCACGTTGTTTTGCTTGCTATAAAATCAGCCAAAGGAAAACATACATAGACTAAGTTTTACAGCCAGAAAGACGTTAGGGACTACGACTTAAGCGACTATTCACGATCACTAACACGGAATCGCCGACGCTAAATTAGCTATAAGCCGATTGCGAGCGACTTTGTTAACATATTTCCAGACAGTTGAGTTACTAAAACGAAATGGAGAGTTTGTCGAACAGAAACATAGTCGCGATTCTTCCTCTCTAAATACATCTAAAGAAGTAACAATAAACGTCGTTAATAAATGAACCATATGAAGCTAGAGAAATGTAACTAAATAACGTACGAAGGAATATAAAGCACTTATTATGGGTTTTAGTTGTTCTTTTGCACGTTCTGACTGCTTCTCAAATTGCAAACTGTGATTGCCTCAAAAGGCAACTATTCTGATGTCTATTGTAACTATTATAAGCGGTCAAGAGTCTGATAAAAATTACGTTTATGCGTAGCGGTACTAACCGAAATTATTTATAACCTTTTGCGGTCCTTTGCGTAGTACCGACCGTACATAGAAATTAAAATTTTTCGTCTGCTGTTTGACCGTATGAAATACAGTCGGGCAAACTAATTAGCATATTATAAAACGTATTATTCGATAGATGGATCGCAACAGGTTTCTGTTTAAATAACAAGAGTACTACGAGAGCAAATCGATTAAGTTGATATACACGTCAACTGTATAACCATAATAACCATAACTTGCTAGAACATATAATAAACAGCAAATACGGATCTAATAAAAAATCGAATCACACTCAAAAAATCCACATAATCAATTCACTCGTCGATGCTAAATTAAAGTGTGTAAAAGAAGAAAGTTCATGCCGAGTTTTCTTCTATTTTTTTTTTTTTTCTTTTTTTTTTTTTTTTTGCTTTTTGCTTTTTTTTTACTCGACATGGATACCTTTTGTGTGGGATTAGTGGATGTGGAGTATGTAAAGACAGATGTCTTCTCGTGGAAAAGTACTGTATCGACAAAACACGTAAAGGTACATAGCAAAAGTAGGCAGTAAAAGTTGACATATATATGTACCCGCTCGATGATAGTATACAATATACACAAGCATGAGGGGCGTACGCAGACAATTATTGTGCAAGGAAAAAAACAAGCCACACCATATTAATGTTAACTGGTAACATGCATTGGTGATTAGTGAAATTTGTTACGAAGATTAATCGCACTCACGGAAAACACAACGAATCAGTAAATGGAGAACGCATCTTTTTTTGTACCTAGTCAAAGGAAAGATCAGAGAAATATGCTCAGCGAAGATGATATCTCGTTAGATCTGCGATTACTGTATCATATATGATGATATATCCCGTATATAATATTATTTAATATGCAAATGTGCTTTAGTTGTGTCACTGTACGTTTCGTTCGACGAAATGAACATTAATTACGGCGCACCGACTTGTATTATTCTTTTCACGTTGAAATTATTCATCCTTGCTGAGCCGGTGTGTTGTGAAATTACAAAACGAAACGTTTCGATGAGTCATTAGATTTATGCTGCTTGTCTCTCTTTACATTATGTACACTGAGATTTATTTGTCGTGTGATTTAGCGCTAAGTGTGTGTAGTCCTGTTAATGGTTCTTCACGATTTCATGCTTCATGTACGATATTACATAATGTTCCTCCAACTCGTTGACATAACGTCTAAAGACAATCGGAGTACATACGCGATTAATTCCCGATATCTTTGATAATTCTAGCTAAAAATAGTAATATTTGTCTCGTTAGTACACAGCTGATTATTGATTATAAAATATATGTAATTATCATAATAAGTGATACAATATACATTTTCATACCTGCACTTTCATTATCATTGCAGTAGTAATAGTGTTTCGTGTGAATTACTGGTTGGTTAATACGCTGATAATCGTGCAGCTAATCGTATCGGTAAACGGTGAGTCGCAATGGCGCGTTTATTTATACTCGTCAACCTTGTTATTCTGACTACTTTTGCAATGTACAACACATGTGGATTACTTGTAACATTTGCACGAAGCGAGTGAACGTCCGGTAAAATTATTTAAATCGAATAGGCAGTTCGAAGCGATCTTCGGAAAAGCGCAGTAAACTTTGTTACTAAATAACTATTTATAATGTGTACATATATATATACGTATATAGCTCTCAAAACTTAATTAATTCACTTTAATAGTTAATCGACATTACAAGACATAGCTCGAACAACGTAATTCATTATATACAGAGCCTTCGACACAGTAAGGCCTCTAGGAATACACGTCTAAAGATTTCACATTCTGCCACACAAATGAAAGTTTAAATAATTGCTGTTTTAAATCATGAAGTGCCTTTGATGTGTGTACGAATTTAAAACTTGGAATAATCAATTTGTTCACGTAGTGCGACAATTGCTCGTTATTATTTAGAACTCTCACCGCTTCTATTTACAAATAAAATACAATATGCTTAATTTAATGTAATGTGGCACGTGGCTTTAAATTATACAGACTCTGTTTCAGAAGTTTGTATATAGGAAAGATGCCGAAGTAATATATTTGATTTTCTTTTTTCTCTTCCGTAACACGTAAATAAGTCCTTTCTATATTACGTAAATATGTTTAGGTTTTACATGCAATATTTAAAAGTTGATCCTCTTATTGCAAATTACTTCAGCTGTCTTACACTGTACGATAATATGTATATATGCTTAAATTTCGAGACCGCTTAACTACACGGTCGATCATTGTTTTCAATTATGCTAGTAATCAGTCAATTTTAGATGAATAATATATTGGCTAGTATTGTGCAATTATTTATGTCCTGTAAAAATGTTAATTGCATGGAAATTGCATATTGCATATTATCTACCTATAATTATCTTCTTTCTTATCGATTAATTGAATACAATAGAAGATTGTTTCAATGTAATTCTCATGCCACATTTATAATTTATAATTTTGCGATTACGCAAAAAATCAATCGAAGAGCTGATATTCCCAAAGCTGTTTTGAGTCTGTATTTTAGGAAGGTAGAAATTATACGTTATAAAGCTATAGGACATTTTTCGTGAAACAAGCTCATAAGTATACAATTTCCGTCTCCTAAAAATACAGATTTAAGTCAATTTGAGGATGAGCTCTAATCCGGTTGACACTCATTTTTTGATATACTTTAATACATATATATATTTTTTTTATCGAATAAGCGAATGTTGTCAATCTCGGTTTCTGAAGACACGTGTCGGAAATCATAGCGTTATATCATTATATCGTTACGTTATTTGGCTTCGGTATATATATTGCAATTGAATACGTGTTATATCGAAGCCAGCTTTGCGATTATTATGATATTATTGTCCATCGATCTACCGAGAAGAGACGAATCGTTTTCGGATCAGTTTCGTCATTGCTCGCGAAATTTTGATCGTGTTTTCTCGGCGGTCGACGAGCCGAGAGATATCTCTATACGTCGTACGGTGGAATTTAACACGTGTTTGCGAATCCGTGACTGAAGAATTGGTATACTTACACAGTGGCATTGTCCAGTGTAATCGACTGACTGTTGATACCGTTCCCGTGATTCGTGTGATGACCGTTCAATTCTCCTTCAACGTTACCCTGATTATTATCCAATACAATTTTACTTTCGTTAATGCCGTTGCTATGCGTGCCGTTGTGCACAATGTCCGGCGCGGCGTTGTTTTCCGCCTGATGCGCTCGCTGTTCACCACTAATGAACTGCTCAGTCGCTTCGGAAATTAAACTGGCTGTCATAACGTCGTCGCCTTTGCTGCCAGGCACGGGTTTGCTCTCGTCGCTAGGACTTTCTTCCTTTAACTTGTCACCATCACCAACCTCACCCTGCATAAAAGATTCGTTGTAACACACAAATTACTTTTATAATTTCGTTGATTTATTTTGGGGTAATATTCAATTCGAACGCAACTCTCGATCGAGTAAATTTAATTCTCAAGCGATCTCAACACAGTTGCAAGATTAATTCTCAAAGTATATGATATTACCTTGGTAGGCGTGTTAGACTGATTTTTGCCTCTCGTCCTAAGCATTATTGCCTCGACTCGTTTGCGTCTGGCATTGCGCTCCTCCTCTTCCTTCTTAAGCCTCTCCGACATTTCGATTCGTTGTCTGCAATTTAGATGTATGGATATCGCTTGTCACACAGTCTAACGTGAATTTCCAGTGGACATAAATGAGGTAAGAGCTCTTTCGGACCAACCTTTCCGCCTCCTCTCTTGCTTTACGCTCCGCTTCCTCTTTCTCCTGTTTCTGACGAGCTTCCTCTTCTCTTTTCCTTCTGTCTTCTTCTTCGCGACGTTTGGCTTCCTCGATCGCTAGTCGCAGTCGCTGCTCCTCAGCCTCTCGAGCTTCATTAGCCAAGCGTAGAGTCTCCTCCTCCAAACGACGTTGTTCCTCCTCCTCCGCGCGCAATCTTTCGGCTTCTAAGCGCGCTTCTTCCTCCTACAAGAATTATTGCACGTAACTTGGTGAATTTATCAAGATCAAGATTAATTTAACGATTCGATTCGTAGATCGTACCTTTCGTTGACGCTCAAGTTCCGCCTCTCGTTCCGCTTGTTCTCGAGCTAATCTTCTACGCTCGGCCAAAGCGGCTTTGGCTTCTTCTTCGGTGGTGATTCTGATCTTCGCAATCATCGAAGCTGAAAAGTGATTCGACATTAATAAAAATGGACAATTATTGTTAACATATAGTGCGAAGAACTTGTGGAAAATAAATGTTTAACAAATTACTGTCTGGCGATACCTGACATGTCGATTTGCTCGTCCACTTCGCTCTCGAGCTTGACTTCAGTTGTCTCCGTTGGTTTCTTTTCTTGTTTGTTTTCCTCCTTTTTAGTGACTTTTGGTAGTTCCTCCGCAACTGCACTTGACAGATTCTCTTGCAACAAATTAGTTTCGTCCTTGACTTGTTTGCTTGCTGACACAAGCATCGTTTGCTCTTCCGTTACCTTTGTATTTTCGGTTACGGGTTCGACGATGTTCGACTCCTGTTGCTGTAATATGTTTTCGTATTTACAAAAATTATGCGAAAGAAATAAGTATAGCAATAGAAAGATGTTGTCTTAATTCAGAGAACAGTCTGGTTAGTTTTCAAGCTGCAGGAACAAATTTACCTGAATTTTCTCGCTGCCCTGATCTTTCTTCTCTTCGTTTTTATCCTCCAATTTCACATCCTGTGTATCCTTGCTGTCATTCTGCTTTATGATCTCCACAGTAGAGTCGCGAATGAGCGGTGCATGCTCAGCTCCAGGACTTTGCAGGGGTGTCGCTTTCGGGGTTATTCGCGGTGACGACTTGACATTCTTGATTAACTTCTCCGTCGGCTTCTTCACCTCCGTGGCTTTGGGTGTAGAAGGTTTCTTTGGAGTGCTATGGACCTTTGGCAGTGGTGGCTTTGAATCCTTCGTTAATTTCACGTCGCCCACCAGATCTGCGGTAACGAGAACGATTGAAATATTTTCTATTTTTATTCGCTTGATGTTTCAATGGATATATACAGTATTTACATGTGCAATTTCAAGAGCTATTGTTAAAAATAATATATACAGAATGATAAAAATATATTTAAAAAATAAGAACAAAACAATAAAAATATAAATTTACACAAATTATTAAAAAAGGTACATAGAGAGAAAAAATTTTAAATGATAAATTTGAAACGTCTTTACAGGGTCGCACCTTCTCAGACGTGTACGATATGTACCGTATGTATCAAACCCTTTCAGGACGTCTCATTTTATTTACACGAATTATATAGTATAACTATGTATTTCTACTTTCCGATATCCCTCTTTGAGCCGATGTCCTAATAATCCATCATGACATATTCGCTAATCGAGAACGTGATGGATTGTTTTTTCAGTCTCGGTTGTGTTCTCTCTGGCGACCTGAAAGGGCCGGTACGAGGAGAAGTAAAATGGGCATGCTCACTGTGTTTTTCTGTGACCGAGACACCGGTACCGGCAATAGAAGCAGGCCGCGGTCGGCGCGACGCGGCCGTACGGGAACGCAGATTGACATTACTGCTGCCCACGCTGCTGGCGCTCTGCTGGCTCATGGAGCTGTGCGGTCGGGACGGGCTGTTGGGTGTCACTTCGCCGCTGCGGATACCTACGCGCACCCACCCAAGGTAAGCATCTATTTGATCTCTGCGTTCACTACAGGCTGCTTTGTACGCGACCGCGCGGGTCTTTCTGCGCGACGCGAGAATCTCTCGGTAGAAAAGTACGGCGGTGCGAGAATGCGAGTTTACGGCGTTGTCGTGTTCGTGTCGCATATGGTCTGCTGTGACGGACGCAAAGTGTAGCAGGCGAACATCGGCAAGAAATCGTAAACGCAAGCACCGCCACCGGTGTTCGAGAGTGCAGTCTGATAGTGTATAAAATAGTGTACAAACTAAGTAATGATATAATCGAAACGAAAGAATTAAGCCAAAATGAAAATAAGAGAAATTAGGCCTTTAATTGCGTAAAAGAGAAGAAAGTGGACACGTCAACGAATTAGAATCGAACAGGGTGTGGATTAACGTGATACGTATTGCACACCAAATACGAGTGTATATAGTACTAGGTGAGACGAGTTACGTGGTGATATATAGTAAAAAATAAAGAAAACGTGCAGCTTACCGAACGTTAGCCCATACCTTCACCCTTGGCACCAAAAAGCTGCTGAGAGATCTTCCTTAGTACAGGAGCGCTTTGTTAATCAATTTGGAGATCAAAGCTAAGGGTCAGTTGCACCGATCATCTCTGCTAACAACATCCAATCAACTTCTCTTTTCCTACGTGTCATTTCTACATCTAAATCTATGAGAAATAAGAAGATGTTCTAAGTGGAGTTAGCTATTCTTCTAAGTTAGACTGCGCTCTCGGTGCAACTGACCCTTAATCGCTAAAGTGGCAAGAGAGCCTGATATAGAATTGAATTTACCAAAATTGGCAAGTTAGTCACCGTAGAAAAGTGTAATACATGTAAAAGTGTAAATTACAATTAAAACAGTTAATATTGTCTCGCGGCTCGAAATTAGAAAAGGAGAAAATGCGACACGTTGAAACGCGGAGGTCACATTTCCTCCTGTGTTCGTTAGAACGAAACTGGTCGTCCGCTCCCACTTGATTTACAAAGACTCCTTTTCACACTTATTCATGCATGTATGCACTCAACTCGCATCACATTGAAGTTCTCTGGTCGCGGACGGCGAGTGCACGTACATCATCTAATGCATGAAACGTGTATAAAATTTTACAGTAACTGTCCTTCGTAAAAGATTGCTCCCGATTTTATCGAAGACCATGCGTTGATCTAGCTCGCATAGTTCGCTGCTAAGCGATAGGTCCGACTGTGTACAGCGAGAGAAATTAACGGGAAAAATTAGTACGCAAAGCGAAACGGGCGATTAATTAACGGCTCCGAGGAAAGTAGCGACTGGAGAAAGTTGGCGCGCAAAGGATGAGTCGATGGTTCTTACCGGTCAACGAATTTACAAGATAGCCATAGAGGCACTAGTTAAAAAAGTAAAAGATCTATCACACAGAGCTATCATACAACTATTATTATCTACAAAATCAAGATCTGCGGTTCTTAATATATAAAAAAAAAAAAAGAAAAAACAACAATTTTGGTCGATGAGAAGCCGACAAGACTAAGGTATCTCAGCTATGTACACAGGCTCCAGGGCGTCGAGTTGAGTGCACGGCATGCTCTCTCTTACCTTGCTGCTGCTGCTGTTGCTGAGCCTGCTGGTACTCGCGAGCCTTGCGGCGTAGTCGCTCAGCGCGGGTGGGTCTCGGTATCGGCGCCGCGCCCGGCAGCGTGCCCATGCTACGCGAGTTGTCTGAACGTTTGAGACTTTTGGCGCCGGGCGCGGCCAAGTGCGACATGCTGCGGCTCATGCTAGAAGCGCTCAGAGGCTGACTCTGCTGCTGCTGCTGCTGCTGCTGCTGCTGTTCCGTTAACGTGCCGAGCTGCTCGGTCGCGCGTTTCCTAGGCTGCGCCAGCTGGTCCAGCCTGGACATGGAGTAAGTCCTACCTGGCGAGCGTGTGAAGGCCTTGGCGCTGGAGCTGCGCGCCGTTGACGGCGGGCCGTCGCGCGGGGACGGTATCGTCGGCATGAGGTCGGTGCGCCTTCTGTTCACCCGCAGGTAAACTGAGCTGGGTGTGCTGGGTGTGGTGCCGTCGCTCTCCTCACCTGCAAAGAGTCTCGCTTAGGGTTGCCTATTCTGCGAGCGACATAGTCGCAGCAGTCGATCCGCCATCGCGGATAAATGCCGCGGCGGCGCGTCTCGCTACTAAATGGAGACGCAATCGAGTAGAGAGCTTCTTTTCGACGCGATAACGTCGCGTCTGGAATTTCTTTCTTTTTCTCCTTTCGGCTATTTCCTCGCGGTTGCTTCGCTTTTCATGCTGTGGCATGTGGGGATGGCGCGGGTAATACACTGAGAGAGATAGAGATAGAGAGAGATTTTGCGCTTGGAACCATGTTGCGTAGGTGCGAATTCACGTAGGTGTGCATTTAATTTCCCGTTAGAATATGAATAATGAAGAATTGACACGTTTCTTCGTTGAATATTTGAGAATATTCAATTATAGAGACAGAGATTATCCTTTACCCCCGGCTGGCAAACATCTCTCAGTGTACATAGATTTTCGTGCAATTAGAGTGCATGTAACGAGCAATCGAAGCTGGCTGTCGTATAAATCTAATACATGGACGGGGGTTTTACGATGTATTTTGTATAAGCAGCGTTATATATAAAAGCAGGGCAACGTTCGAATTGAATCGGACATGGAGGAATCTATTCATGCAAGTTTTATCCGTAACACAAATCTACGTATCAAATCAACGGTATAATTAATCAAGTTAAATTTTCAGTTTATTCTGTTACACCGCGCGGTAATGTACCCCTTCTTTTATACAGTTTGCTAAATTATTCTTTGTACAACTAATCAACCAATTATCAAGTAATTATAAATTATGCAACTGCTAATGAGAACTGATAACTAATCCAGTGTTGTACTGATATGTATATGAGTGTATGATTTAATGAAACGCGCAAACGATGTACAAACGAAAAACTGAGCTAGTGAAAATCGTCTGGTGAGATCGTTTTCGCGATGACATTTAAAGCCCGTGTGACTTCTAATCAAAGGTTCCCGAATGTTTCTCTGAAATGATGATTTTGCCATTTTTATGGCACACGTATTTCAAATATATCTAATTTTCTAACGAATAACAACGAACTGGCAGCAAGGCTCGCTAAGATTCAACTTGGGATCAACACACATTGAAGCTAAATAGTTAATGGTACCATCAATCTATTCGCGTTAGTAACGAAGTTAGTAGGGATCGTACGCCAGTCAACAAACTAATGACACAACATTGCGTGATACTGGCTGCCACGTGGTGCTCAGTGGCTGCGATGGTCTCTCGAGAAATCGTAAAACCCACCCGACCAATACCACACAATCGGGAAAAGGAAACTTGCGGAAACTAATGGAAGAAAGTGCGCGGGGGTTACGTTCTTACGGTATTAAATGAACGTGACATGCCGGTACTGTGTAGTGAGGTATATCAGTAAACGAAAGACATAATGACGTAGAACAAGAGAGAAGAGAGGGAGAAGAAAGAACGAGATAGAATCCGCGGAGAACGGGAGTGTGCTAACATAAACGAGAAACAATAGAGTCGACAATATTCATTCTTTCGAGGCGATCAAGAACGGAACTCCCTCGAAACTCGCAGGCAGGTTCTGAAACATCAGGACTCACCACTGGCAGCCCGCTGAATCATGGGACGCCGAGTATCGCTATCTGATTTATCATCGACGGCAAAGATGTCGGTTGTGGGAGGTAGAGAGAGGCTGGCTCTCTTATGCTTGGCAGGAGTTAAAGGGGGATCGGGGCTAGAATTCCAATTGAACACCTCGTACATGGACGAGGACATTCTCATATCTGCGAACAAACCATTCAACGCAACACAAACATTAAGTTGCCCGCGAAAAACTTTTTAAATGGGAAGTTTTTAAATCGGACGAGAAAGAAAGAAAGAGGCGGGGAGCAAGGAAAGGCGTAAATATTAACGTGAGTTAGATACATGGGATCGCATGTGTTATCTTTGTCTGTTTTCTTTCTTCTAATTTTGCTTCCAACGCTATACCTTTTTAGTACTAATACCATTTTCAGTACCGCGCTTTGCAGAGCCACCACCAGCAAGTACAGATCGTAGCAGAGGAAAGAAATTCAGCGAAAAGGAATCTAATCTCCTTGTACAATGAAAAAGTAAAAGCACCCTGCACTTTTAATTTTGCTCGAACGGTTTCCAAAAAGCTGTTTCTCTGAAAAAAGAGAGCGAGTGTGTCCGAGTAGAAAGAGATGAATGAAGATGTAGCGCTCGCGGGGGTGAATGCTAACCGAAACGTTTGTGTGCAGTGTAAGAAAATAATAATAATAAACAAACGCTGCCGCGCGTAAAAAAGCGAAATTCGGACTTATCTCGCGGGACGATTCAAAACGTCCTCACGACTCGCCGTGTAACCCAATCTCAAGCTGAAAATACGCATACGTGGATTCGGCTATCGCTTTAAAGGGACACTGCCACGAGTATGTACACAGAATAGGCTATAGAAGAGTGTAAACCTGAAAATAAAGAACCAAAAGTAAAACTTATGCTATGCGCAAAGTCACGTTTACAGACTGTAAGAGGGTGCTGCACAATCGTTCTTTCATGCTTTGTGGTGTCGTTTCCTCGCCGTGCACATTGCCGTGTATACAAACAAAAGCTGCGTGCGACCTACACGGCTTCGGAGCTATCAATAATCCGTTTCAACACCCGATGTCCGGGAAACGCTAATTTAATTATTCGACGACGCAATAATTTGAATAATATAATTTAAATTATATTATAATTTCGCAGCAATAATTTAATTATCGCTCTCGTTCGTATATCTCGTTCGCAACGGTCACGAAAATCGTGTGCACATTTGATCGGAAAAGCGTAATTGTTTCAAAAATTGAAGCGTCACTTTCCACGATAATGCGACAAGTAGCGCAAATGCGAGCTGCGTGTTACAACGAACATTCTGTTTACCGTATGTGCATCTTCCGCGATGAAGAATCCCGCACATATATGCACTGAACACGGCGGGGTATCGATTGGCACTAAGAAAAATATATCGTTGTCAAAGGTATTGGAAGCGATCGTGTGTGAAGTGTGTGAAGCTCGCGAGCTGCTTCCTTGTCCTGTTTACCCGGATAACGTCTCCGGACGCACGGCGTAATGTAGATATTCACACACCGACGACACAGCGACGATTAAACGACACCACCCCTCGCGAACAGAAAGGAACGATTGTAGGCCGATAGTAGAGAACGACAAACATCAATCAATACATATGCCGGACGCTCCAACAAATACGTACATAGGGTGGGGCAAGCAGGAGGGACGGAGTGTAATTCGCTGGTACGATTTATTCCCTCGGGACGTATACCGCGAGATTTATTTGATGTCCCGCGCAATTTATGTATCACCGTGCGAAATATTGCTCCACTTCGCGATATTTAATTATTTGAGAATATATTTGAACGCGCGATAACTGCCAACCGCTTCGCGTTAATCGGTCAACATATTATGCAGTCTGGAGGTGTATGAAATAATAATCGCGAGAGACGTTAAGCTACGAGATACCAGCCACACATCCGACTCAAAGACGGCTTAGCTGACGTTAATCAGCCGACGCTGTTCCTCCCTTTCGATCTTTGCCCGTTACACGGCACACATGTACTTCACGTGTGTCACGGTTTATACTCACGTTGAAGTACACCAAAATCCACGCTGCGAGCCGTTCATCATACTTGCGTTCGCGCCGACGACTGTTGTCGATTCGACCGAATTTACAGTAAACACTAATTTGCATTCTACCAGTGCACGGTGCACGGTGCATCACCACGCGTGTATTATTCATTCACTCTGACTGAGTGAGATAGGGGAAAGGCTTTAACGCTTTCAGCTGCTGCTTTCAGCGGTTACTTCATATTACATACGCGCATATATTTCATGAGACGTGCCTTACACTTCATCTTTCAATCTCTCTCGGAGATAAATTAAGCCCGGAGATGAAGAAAGTGTGTGCGTGTGTGAGAGAGAGTCTCACACATTATTATTCATAGACACCTGCTAGTATTTTGCTGCGAACAAGAGTCTCTTGTAACGTTTCAGAAAAAGACGAAGAAGCATAATTGAAACTGAACTTCAATAAAGTTGCTGATATGAACTCTTAAAGAATATAATCATCGTGCAAACGCTCAGTGAACCGAATTTACGTCTCGTACTCAAACTGAAATCTAGGAGTGTGTAAGGGGCATCACTCAGAAATACTCCATATTCTATCAAAATTTATCCAGAGAGTTTCCCGTCGGGAATCGTGTTTACATAACAGGACGCTCTCGAGTACGCGGCAAGCTTAAGAACATCGCACGCTGAAAGGGTTAATCGAATTTCCATGTGCGATGTGCGGCGACGCTCGCGTCAACGACTACCCTTGATCGTTCCATTTGGGGTATACTCGAGCAAAATTGCGTGATTCGATTCGATACACGAAGAACTATCGCGTTTGACTGACCTTCGCCGGGTTTTCGGTCGAGTCCACCGGCGGAAGTGGCCCGCTTCTTGCTGCCATCCAGCTCTCTCTCGGAGGATCTCCTGGTAAGCGGTTGCGCCGCAGAGAACATCATGACGTTGGTGGTGGAGGTAGCCCTGCGAGTGCCCCAGAAGGTAGAGCCGCCAGTGTCAGCGGGCTCCAACATCCGCGGCGTAGAACTGCCGAACGCGAAGACAATGTGCGACCTTTCGTTCTTCTTCTTCGCCTCGATGCGTGCCTCTCTCTCCTGGTTCTTCCGGAGGATAGCCTCCCGTCTTTCCCGTTCGGCTTCGCATATCAGCCGTTTTCTCTCTTCCACTTGGTTTCGTCTGCACGAAAAAGAGGCGTCAGAACGGCGGCATCAAGCCGGGACGTATTCGTTCGATATGCGGCCTCTACGAGAGACGGCCAGGTTTCTCTTCCAGGCGCTTCTCAGATTTTTATTTCACGATGTAGAAGAATTTTAGAGGATGAAAGAAAAGCGCGTTTGTCCAAAGAGCGCGGCCAAGCAGACGTTTAGAGTTCACGTCGAGTCAATTCTAAAGTATAACTCTCTAATTTGAGCATCTTATAGTTCTTGATGGCCCAAAAGAGTCCCAATTTCAACAGACAACACCATGTAAACAGAGTATCAGTTAGCATTGTCCGTTCCTTGTTAAGTCCTTTGTCAATCTGTTTTCATTAAAAGACGTCCCTTATTTTGAACGTGAAGACACGAAATCACGGACAAGCTGAGCTTAAGCTAATCATTTCTGATATCATTTGTTGAAATTGGAACTCTTTTGCCATTTTTCTCAAGAACGATAAGAGAAGATGAAAGAGTTACATTTTGAAATCGACTTGATGTGAGCTTTAATCGTATACAAAATAGATTATCATTATCGAGGGTTCCAAAATTTCAGGCAAAATTTGACCGCTTCCTTTTCTCTTCAAGAGTCTTCAAGACGTATTTTGTTGTTCAGTATCCTTATTTTCTTGCGGGATACGGATTAAATGAAATCCCTCGCGTTAAGAACGATCGCAAATCTATTGCCGAGTCCACCATTTTAGCGGAACCAACAAACCTGTCGTTGTCACGCGATCTGAGCTCGTCGATGCGTCTTCGTCGCTCCTCTTCGCGCTGCTCCCGGAAGCGTTGCGCGGCGAGCGCTTGTTGCCTGAGCTCCTCCAACTTCCGCTGTCGCTCCTCGTTCTGCCTCTCGCGGACAAGCTTCGCCCTGTCCAACTCCTTCGAGCTTCCCGTCGAGTCGCGTCCTGCGAACAGCCACACGAACAGACGTTTAGTGTCCATCCGCTCGAACCAGTTGCGTATGTTCCGGATATGTACCGATTATCTATTTCTCACAATCAATTGAACGCGGTCACGGATAAACGGAGTCTTACTCGAGTTTTAGACGACAAATTTTTCAATCGCGTATCTTCATATGACTATATGTTCAGTATGAAATTCCAGATTTAGATAAGCATTGATAAGTTGGAATAATTATGCATCAAAGTTATGCAAGATTATCCAAAATTGTGAATAAAAATAAAATATAGAGTAGATAAAATATTTGATAAGTATCGCGATTGAATAATATTGAATGCAAATTGAATTAAATTATTAACTCAAATGAAAAGGCAAGTAAGTAAACAATCCAATAAAAATGTCAATTAAAACTGAACACTAATTGAATAAATTCTTCGAAATAAATACTATTATATAAAATAATGAATTGCTAAAAATAACTTACGTGGTGAAACAGGAATGGGAGATAATCAAGGGAAGAGCGAGGGGATGCAGACCTTATTACTGCGATTATAATATTTGAAGACATAGATAAAGAGAAATATTCTATACAATAACATCGAGATGGTAATAAAAGTGGCTATTTACAGAATATAAATACAATCTAAAAGAAAGTAGGACCATTCGGGACATTTTATGTGACATAAGCGCGATGCGTTCGAAATAACGTGTATCCAGTATAAACAAAGTTTCAATTAATCCTCCAGTTAATCCAATTTTTATCATTAGACCGAATTACAGTATATATATATATATATATATATATATATATATATATATATATATGCAAAGTGAACGTAAACTGCCACCGTTTACCGTTAAAACAAATGCAAATGTTAAAAATGTTAATAAGAGGCGTCGATGGCGTCGATTAGCGGTCATCGAAATAAGAGGTGGAAAGTCTAGTGATAAGGCAAAGGAAACAGTCTGTACACAGTGCCCTTTGTTGAAAACGTTGATACCTTCATTCTCGTAAGGACGATCACCGTCGAGGGAATCCTCATCGTAGAGACTTTGCCGGCGCTTCACATCTGCCGAGAAGAAAGCGAGACATGTGCGTGTGCACGTAAGATTCGAGTATTAAGACCGCAGCACGCAGTATGTACGACGAATGAATGAATGAATGAATGAATGAATAAATAAATGAATGAATGAGTGAGTGACTGAGTGAGTGAGTGAGTGAGTGAGTGAATGAATGGACGAACGCTGTTATTATGGCATGCATCTACCATGTACGGTAGTGCGTGTGTAAATGTGTGCACGCGCGATTAAAGCGAGTGGATTCGCATGCGACGCGTGATTTTGCGTGTGTTAATGCGGGATTGAGGATGACTGTTACAAACGAGGAAGAGTTATTACGATTATAAGTACATGATAAGATGGTATTGTGCAATGATGTGAGAGTTTCTTTTACAGTGGATGCACAAAGTACAAGACTTCACTGATAAAATAATCAAAAGTTGAGAAACAGAAAGTGAAAGATTGAAAATAGAAGTAAATCCATGCCAAAACATATTAATTGTGACTATCGTTTTGAACGTAACGCAAACTTGTCTTCTCTATTTAGATCTGAATATCCCGGATATTTCGATTCCACGTTAATCCTGCAAGTTCCCTCGAACTTGAAAAAATATATTAATTGTGTAATTTTTTGCGGAAAAAACGATAATCATTTGTAGGATTAAGGTAGGACGGTAATACAGTGTTATATCACGAGTTTCTTCATTGTTGCTCTTCTCAACAGCGACGTATTTGCAGGATTAATGCAGATTTCGACTCGGATATAATCGGATATTGATAAAAAAAAATTCCTTATTTTCTTAAGTTGCGTAATCTTCAATTGTTTTTTCATTTTCTCTACAAAAGATAATCAGGCTGCACAAAAAGTGTCAGGTAGAGGATAAATCTGCTCTTCGGAAGACGCTCGTTTTACGAGCACGGAGAAAAACGAGCTTATCGCTTTCTACGATACACACTACGACATCTTTCCTGAACCAAGCGCGATATTAAAAATGCGAATCGTATTCGCCTGGAAAAGCTTTCGGGACAGCTACAGCCGAGAGCTGCGTGAGAAAATTGCGCATCGCATTTATGTAGAACTTACATGGAAATCGAGAGGTAATATTACATAGAAAATTTCACGTGTCCAGCAGAATTTCGTGAAAAAGAAATGCGACAGGAAGAAATTCTGATGAAGAAAACGCGAGATACAGCGCGATTAGGATTTATGTGCAAATATATCTCACTCCGCGAGGTAATCCGCTTAACATTTTTAGCACTGTATATGCATGTAAAAAAGTGCTGGGTCATTTACAGCGGAGAACTTTGCCGCTATTGATTATTACAGTTAAATGTAGAACACACACACACACACACACACACACACACACACACACACACACACACACACGCGCGCGCGCGCGCGCGCACGCATATATATATATATATATATATACACATATATATGATGTCATAACATCCGTGATATCGATAGATACAAAACTTTTTAATAGCGTGATATTTAATAGCGTTTATTAAATTCATGAATGCGCAATAGGGGATTAGCGGTGTTAACCATTAATCGCTGAACACGTATTCCATTACACAATCGACGAGTTACACGACTCGTTAGCTTTGTTACTTGTTTGTAGGGTGGATTCGTTTTTCATGACTTCCACCCACGGCAAATAGCGCGTGTTGACCGAAAAATCAATGAAAACGTTTAACTTCGCTTTTGCGGAACAGCACGGAAACGGCAATCTCACAGAACCACACGCACGCACACAAATGTACACGCGCGCACAAATACCCGTAATTGGGGACTGTGACGAGCAATATCATTTTAGAGCACGCAGGTAGAAGAACAAATGTGTGTCACGAACCATATCCACATTGCATATTCTGCATCAAAGATGCGTATAATTGTCCGTTTTCCGCACCGTATTTAGAGCGCATTATATCCGATCTTTGTGATTTGTGCGTGTATATATACTTCGCATCGCCGTTTGCCGCATTTTCCGCTAAATAGAGACACAAATGCGGACGAATATACGCGCAATATTAGTTCTTTTAGCTTCACTATCGATATCAATCGTTACGGTATATATTTACAGGTATCATCGTGTCGGGGCATGTTAACGATTCACTGGGCAAATCATAAAAACATGTCTAGTAGTAAAAATCCAACTCGAGAGATATTTCTCATTAATTGGAAAAATTCCAATAAAAAAAAAAAAGATTCAGTTACATGATTTACATCATCTACAATTTCACAACCAGTTTTATTCACGTATAAAGCTGAATAATGCTTGTAGACGTAAGTGCGTCGTGCAACGAGCCGAACGGTCTTTAAATTAATTATTTTTAAAAAGCGCGATCGGACGCGACAGATATTTTCAACATCGTGAGGAGGACACGCGGAGTAACACCGTGTGGATTAAGTTTCGCAAAGCACACACCGCAATCGTTCTCGGGTCATGTTGCCGATCAACCCGATTCATACCTGACAAAGCGAGAGCGCCGTCGTCGTCGTCTACTCCGATCTGGGCGAACCAGTGCATCGTTTGTTCTGCGAAAGACAAATTCGTAGATACACACATTCTGCGGGAGCTTTATCGCGGAGCTTTCAAGCATGGTTCGCGAGCTCCGCCGGGCGAGTTTTGTTGCGCGATAAGTACAGTCGTTGTCTCGACAAGAGACGCACGATCGCGGGTTTAACGAGCAACAAAAGAAGAGATATCGAAGTGTATTGTTGTAGATTGCGCCAGCAGACTCCAGCCAATATTGTTTACCCAAAGATGCTGATTATCGCGCGTATTATACGCGATACTGCCGCTTAATCAACCACAGCATTACTCCACACGACGCGATATTATTATTTCCCGTCGCGCGCAAGAGGTGTTTAAATTTAAACAGATATCCTTGAGGATACGCCGTGTTGTTTTTTTAAACATTTGTTGCGACGCAATTATACGCAGTTGTTCTTTTCTTCCTGTTTTTCCTGTGTCTCGCAATTGGATAACACGACTGTTTGATTTGATATAGTTAATTTGATATTGTTGATATAACTGTTTGATTTGATATTGTTAATAGACGGATTATTATAACTATTTACTGTTTAAATTATTATACGCGCGCACACGTGTCAGAAAGATAAAGAGAGCGTTTGTTTTACGTTAAATAAATTATATGTACTACACATATATGTGAGCAAAATTTATTCATCTCCGTAATGTGGCGCACTGTTAATTAATAAATTTCCTTACGCTCGAAATTACATTTGCGACGAGTGACGAAATATTGATCGGCGACTCGTTATTTCGCTTACGGCACAGCCGGTGTCGAGGACGAAGTAGTCCGCCATGCACAGATATTGCATCAATCCGATAGCCCACTTTCTCCCTCCTACGTTCGGCGCAATCTCTAATTGCAACGGGGCTGGCTTATTTTTGCCCTTCGTCGACGACTCGTTTTCGACAAACGCCAATGAGGACGACCACAAAGCTGCCGATATTATTTCCGGCCGCTGATTGCGAATGTCAGGCGGTAGGAAAGAACGAAAGAGTGCGGAGGCGAGGAAAGAGGAGATGGTAGGCCTACTGTTGATAATAATTGGACATCTCATTAGCGATGCGAATGCAGAATTGAGAGAGAGAGAGAGAGAGAGAGAGAGAGAGAGGGGGAGGGAGGGAGAGTAAAAAAGGAAGACGCGAGGACGTGCGAGAACGACATAAAAGGACGTTTTCGACGCACGCGAATACCGATTCACATCGTGAATATATGCGTGTGCGTATGTGTGTGTGTGTGTGTATGTGTGTGTGTGTGTGTGTGGAGAGATCCCGACGACGAATGCGTCAGCGATAAATGCACCAGCAGCTGATTCTTCCGAATAACACGTGGCGGGCAATTGAAGAGTCGCCCTCCTTTTCATCGAAGATAGGAAAATTCTATATGGAAATTCAGTTGCATGTGAATATAATTTGGAAGTAGAGTTCATGTCGAATCAGCAACAAAAATCGATACTCAATAAAGTGGCGTATCCAAGTGGAGCGCTCGAAAAATGGAAAATGAAGGACCGGAAACTGAGCAGCATGGAAAATTGTATGTTTATATATTTTATCAGAGAGAATGAGAGAGAGAGAAAGAAGCCTAAGACGTGCATGACCTAAGTCCAATAATTTAGGAGTTATTTAAAAAAAATAACAATGAAAAAAGCAATTTAATTCGAATAATAATGCGCGTGCGAATTTATATATATGATCGAGACATTCGACTGGCCGGTTTAAAATAGAACACTCTGTATATATATACAGGAGATAAGGAAATTAATAGATTCTATATTACAAATCACTCTTTTTCTCTCGGGAAAATTTGAGACTGTCAAGGCGAACGCGCCGCTTTCCCGTAGCCAATTTGACGAAGAAATTATATTCTTATTGCTCATATCCGCGTGGCAGGGTCTTCTGCGCTTTTATTAACAAGTTAATGGCTATATTAAATGACAATAAAGGTAACAAGAAACTCGGTATTGTTGCCAAGAATATCGAATAAATGATATTAAGCCGCGTTACAAAGTAGAATACCGCGCGCGTATCTCGCACGACATGCAATCGCATTCTTTCGGATGAAAACGGCGGGGGAAAAGCTCCCTACAAAGCGTGCGTCTCGGTTCTTCTCTTCCGCCCATTATCCCGATCAAAAAGATTCCCCCCTCTCTCTCTCTCTCTCTCTCTCTCTCTCTCTCTGTCTCCCTCTCTCCCCCTCTCTCTCTCCTTCGGCAGTGGCGAGCAAAGAACCTCGAAATATCGCGGGACAAAGATAATGATACACGTCGTCGTCGTTTCGCCTCGGAGCGGCACTTCCAAGGATGCAGCTACGGAAAATGCACCGTCTGGTATCGCATTTCGGCAGTAGCTCACGGAGCAGTTAATCTTCCGACGTTCGGGAACGCATCGACGCACAATGCGCCCCGATCCGTCCATCCATCCACCTCTTTTGAAAGCTGTCCTTCACACGACATCGCCGTTAATTATCTCGCTTTTGACGAATGGGACCGAACGGCGAGTGGAAAAATAGTGCGGTCGCGTGTAAATACAGCTCTTGCGCGCGGGAAAAATTGGAGTCAACGCAGAGATAAAACGTGCAGCCATCAGGGTGCCTTAACAATTCAGTTCAAATGACACGACATACGTCGATACGATGTATTCAAATATTCCACATGCAACAGAAGATGCTCTCTTTTGTTATAAATGAGAAATAGCGATACACAAGAAACTGCATACCACACAGATGTGCCGAAAGCTGGACAATTAATGAAACCACGAAAAGAGCTGCTCGTTAACGAACGATCCTGCGGGATTCTTTTCTCTTCCTCTCTTTTTTTTTTTATTCGCCGTAATAAGCGCGCGGTATTGTTTCGCGTGGGTGTTCGTTAAAACAGCCTCGCGGCGATATCTGCAGCGGCGTGTCCACAATTCCGCGACGCGACGCGCGGAGAATCGGTAGACAATGATCGGTAACCGAGACAATTTAACGAATAGGGCGCACCACGTCATTGCTGTCGCCCGAAGGGATGCGCTCGTGCTATGCATGCTGCTGGTGCATCACGCGGCCTTCGTCGCCATCGCCGTCGTTGTCGTCTTGGAGACTCAAACGCTGGAAAATCCGCCAGTGGATACACACGCTTCTGTTAATCTCCCTTCGTCTGGAAGTGGGTCGGGAAACAATGGGATCCGTCGCTTCCATCTCCCGGTGGCATCGCCACGACGAAGTCTTGTCTTCTCCTAACCCTCTCGTCCCACCCGGCTTTTCCTCTCAAATCCTCCATTCATCCGTCCGGATTATTCTATCACGAACATCTCGCTCGAGTGCCGGTGTAGAATGCGGACGGGATACGTGCTGTTTCAAGACGCGTGAATGATCTATGAAGTGTCGATGTACACGATTCGTATAACGAGATCCTCTCACCAACGATCTCGCCTCTCGCGCCTTACTAACGCGATATAATTGTACGCGCAAGGATACTCGCATGAGGGACACGCTTGGAGAGAAAGGTCGTCGTAGATATGCAGTAGTAATACCTGTTACTTTCTTCAGGCGAAGAATCCACTTACAATTAGAGAAATCCAGCTTGACGTGCATTTTCTTCGCGTTACTTCTTACGGTCTTCATGTAATCAACTTGTACGCAATTTCTTTTTTCCTTTTCCTGATGGCCTGAGGTAGCAACATCATCGACCAATCTTTGTAAATTAATTTTGTACGCAGTTGCAGCCTTATTAAATCTTCGATTTGCGTCACTTAATTATGCTGCACCAATCTAGATATTTTCAGGATATTCCGCTTCTTTTGAATTTGACGAAAGAGACGGCGGCTGACGGTCCAAATTGTCTTCTCTCTCTCTCTCTCTCTCTCTCTCTCTCTCTCTCTCTCTCTCTCTTTGGTTTCTTTAACCTCCTCTTCCCTCTACTAATATTTAGCGAGTGAGCATACTTTTTGCGTAGCGCGGAGCGACGTCGTTTACGTTTCAAATTTAAAATGTCGATAATCCTCCACCATGTCAGTTGAAGAAAGGTTTTAAATGTTTCGTAAATATCTCGTGAGTTTTTCCGCTGACGGAAGGGAGTGGCCGGGGAAAGTTGAGCGCATGAGTGTTCTCCTCCGGCGATATTTTTCAAAATTTTTCGTTCGCGTTCCTCAAAGGATAACTTGATGGATATATCTTCTAGTTTCGGTGTGTTTCGCAGGAATTTCGGGCATGAGTTTTCTCGCTTCTGACGCCATCAATCGAGAATTTCGAGACTCAGAAACTTCAAGAATTACATTATATTTTCGCTTATGTATATTTACGTTAATGACGCATTGAGAATAAATTACATCCCACGGGGTTCGATGCGCGCATAGCTTGTTAGATTTAATTATTCAAGCCATCGGTACGTATCTAATTGCACAATAGCGTGATAAATTGTACGTTCTGTGTCCTTCGCGCGAATTAAATTCTCGACGCGTCATCACGCACGCGATTTTTTCAGCCAAGCGGAGGAGTTATTAACAATTTCGCGGACGCTTTTAACGGTTGATTAAACTAGCGGCCTCTCTTACAAAAGCACGGGGTGGAATTGAAGCGTTATTAAATCCACTCGCCGTTTCGCCGGCCTGCACCGGGAGAGAATTGCATTCGTTATCTACCACGACCCAGAAGTCGCACTTTGGATCCGTCGCGATTCGATAGCGTTCTCGATTCCACCTCGGATCGGAAAACAGTTACGCGGTTTTCCGTGCGAGATTAATATCGTTATCGACTGTGGAATATCGGTGACGTGGCAACCCACAAACAGTTCCGATGGAAACTCGCCGAGGACTTTGAATTTATTCGGAGATATCTCGCAAAACTAGTTCCTCCTCTGTCACTTCGCGGAGCGATCTTAATCGCGTTTGAAATTAACGTGGGAAAACTTAGAGGACTTTGTTAAAATTGTCGCGACGCGATTGTGACTCGCGGTAAATGTGTGATTTCTACGCTGACAGAACGGAATGAAAGAAGAGGGAGTAATAAATATGATATGGGGCGCATTGTATCTGAAGTCAGCTAAGCGGACATAATCTATTTTCATCTTGAACGTTCTCTTTAAACAGCCTTCTGGTAACACAATATTATTCGATGATGAATAATGTAATAATAACGCAGTCACTCGACGTGCGTCCCATATTGCCATATTTGAAAAATACACCGTGCTCTAAATGTCAAATGCTTCTCCACACAGACTCTCGCGTAAAAACCGACCCTAGGTCTGTATGTTTGTATATCTCTGGTGTTACTATCTGTACTACAAATAGATTCAAGCTATGCTCTCAAGCGCCGCAGAAACGTTGGTAGACACGGGTTGCGATATTAGAGACTATATCGCGCCCAAATCCGCCGTGTAAATGCGAAAAAGCTACCGTAAGTGGTGTCACACGCTCGCTACGAAGTGATGAAAAGTTCTCAAACCGGTGCTCCAGAATTCCAACATAAGCCGGCCGTGGGAAACATCGAGATAAATAGTGAAGAGAAAGAGGCACAGAAAAAGTAAACTCTAGAGCATCGATTATTCACCGAGCACACCAAATCACCTTGCATCCCGTGTCAATCTCATCAGATCATTTGTTTGAAGCGCTGGTTTGCAAATAAATCGTGAAATAAGGATTGACCTATTAGATTGGATACATCTATATTGGTGACAAGCACACATCGAAACAGAATGAGATCAGGGCTAGTTGGCTATCGCGATAAGTTGACAAAACCGATTATTTGTACTATTTTCTAACAAGTTATAGAATAAAGCAAACAAGATTTTTAAACATAACAAAGATAGCTTTGAAATTCCTGCTTGCTTGATTCTAAAATCTGTTAAAGAATAATAGAAATAATCGATTTTGCCAGTCTCGGTCTTCTCTACCGTTAATTACGTTAATTCGATCGAGTCAATTATTTATCTTTGGATAATTATACGGTGATTTGTTTCGCTTCGTGAGATTTAATGCGCTAGTGCTAATCGCACGCTTCGTTGTAGCAAGCGAAAGTGCCGCAGTGTAAACGCGATCTGTCGCATTCGCCACCAAACTTACCCTTCGTGAGAGAGTGGCGATTGTGTGCAGAACTGGACCTTTGGTTAGTTTCCTCAGGAGCGGCTCCAGCTGTAAAACAAAAGGGTCCCGCATGAGACAACTTCCCGCGCCAGTTACCGAGTACACAAACGCGTCTATATTGCATATGTGGTGAATAAAAATTTAATTAAGTGCGATCGACGACAGGCGGTTTCGAACAGTTCGAGCACCTTGCACCGGTATTAATATTCTGGTAGCCACATCCCTGCGCTCAAAACAACCGGTGCCGTCCTTGGTGGAGGCAGAAGGCGGTTTAATTAAAATCACCTGTTTCGGGTTATAACGATTTATTACGATAAAATTCTGGATTTAGTCTAGAATTATTGATAACTACTTATTTTAGTTTTAACTACTCTGCGATGCCCGGGTTTCTTATATATAAAATGTTTAAACTTAAATTATCGCAAAGTGTTAAGGGACTGAAATTAGAGGGAGGGGGTAGAGTGTCCAAGTTTCATGGTAGCCTATGTTTTCTGCAAGGTCCTAAAGATTTGACCTAGATCAGTCAAAGAAGTAAAAGGAACATACAGAGAAACAGACATTCTATTTTATATATATATATATATCTTCATATACAGATTGCGACCACTTGCTTATACGAATAGTTTGACTAAAGAAGTTCCTTCATTTAAATTTTAAACACGACTCGCACTCTTCAATTTTCAATCTTGGATATTTTTGGATATCACGAAAGCTGAAAGATGCGTTTCAAGGCGCATTGACGTTTCGCGGTTTACAAGATATGTCTGTCACTAAGCGCTGGCGAGTTTGGCGTGCCGCTTGTAGTCGCGAACAAAACCAGGATACTAGCAGCTAGGCGAGAGACACTCCCACGCAGCGTGAAGAAATCGTATTATGCCGACGAGAGTATCGAGCCGTTCGGCGCGTGTGTACGTATAAACATACGCGAGTGAGGGTGAGGGTGAGCGTTGCGTATCTGGCGCACGACGCGCAGACACACGGTATATGCGGTACGGTGGATGCGGGTAGTTGAACTTCGACATTTCGCGGAGAGGGACTCTTCCTTTCCTATTACACTCAGAGACATTCACCGGCTCAATTGGGTGGAACTCGGCCGCGTGTTCGAGGTAGTGAAAAGGTTCGATATGCAAGCTCATGTACTCGAATGAGGTGTATATCTTAAATGCAATTCACTCCACGACGGCGGATTTTGTTTTTATTTGTACGGAGACTCTGGGAAACTTGATCGCTACCTGCTTTCGAGAGCGCAGCCGTGATCGTAGGGTGGGTAGCTGAAAGAAGCGAAAGCGTGTCATATTCTTAGGAAACTTGCGTTATCCTTGTAAAATTGCTTCCAATCTGGGAAAGCTATTTTTCGATCGAGCGACTTTGTATTTTTAAAGGGGACACGAGAATATTGCGCGCAGACGTACGTGTAAAAATATACACATGTGATTGAAATGCGGAAATAATGCGGCACACTTAGGCATTCACGTTTACAAGTAATTTAACGGAATTACTCGCGTTCCCCCCCTCTTTCTCCCTTTCTCCGTCTTTCTACCGTCGCAATTACGTTCGAGTGCGAGCGTTCCAAAACGTCGATAAAAAATAATCTCTTGCGTACAATGTTCATGCAGCGAGAGAGAGAGAGAGAGAGAGAGAGAGAGAAAGAAGCAAACCACGGTACTCTCTTTTCATTCTGTTTGACTTGCTCGCAGCGAAGAATCATCGACGATGTAAAGAGCAAAATTATCTCCTCGTATTCGCGCAAGAAGCGACGAGGCAGAGTACTTAGATCCTAATTCCGCGAGATAGGATTTTAACGAAGAGCAGTGAATATATAGAGAGCGGGAAGAAGATAATCCAAGTTGGCGGCGATTCCCGCCCTTTATAGCGGGCATGCCGTTGTAGTTTGAAGTATCGGGTCGTGGATAATGACGTGGAACGACGCCGGACGAAGACGTTAACGATGATAACGCTAGATGCTCGCGACGAAGAAAGAGCTTTTTATCGCATGTCGTCGTCACTATCCATCGACGGTCGCATCTCACGCGCAGCACAAGCTCTCGGGGTAGGGCATTCTCTTCGCTAAATTCGCGTTATTAAGATTTCGTCGTCTGGCGATAATGAGAACGGAGAAAGAGAGGAAAAGAGAGGGGCTGGCTGATCAACGTTGTCGGGACATAATTCCTCGAACTCGAGGAGCGACGTGCGTCGCGAAAGAAAACGCAGGACACGAGGTGGAATGCCGGACAGATCCTTTGTGGAATTAAAGACAGATGTCGGATGGGGACGTACTCTGAAAAGTGTCGCAACGATTTGTCAGGACTGAAAGGAGTCTCGTCATTCAAAGAAGCGTTCAGCTCGAGGACGGTCTCTAACCACCGGATCCCGCGTTGGCGAGGACCACGGTTCATGTGTAGTAATTGCAACTTTTACACCGTAAGTGACCTCGCGAGTCGATATTTTAGTTTCACATTAATCATATAGATTTTCCAATCGAGAAACCAATGGAAAATGACGAGGTGTAATATGTTATTGTATTATCTTAATATCATAAGATTTTCTTACATTGTTTTGCTCTGTGAATGTGAATAGTCATTCCTGGCGTGTTTTTGATCGTTAAACATGAATTCGTCGTCGTCCAAACATGACTATTGCGCTAATTGTGAGAAAAATTGGGTAAAATGGATCAGAAACGACGACTTTGAGGAATTTCATCATGTTATAGCAGCGACAGAAAATGTTTTTTTTTTTAATTTCATTAATACCATAAAAAAATACAAAGTTTTAGTTTTAAAATACTTTTCGTTCCGTTTCTATAGGATTTTCCTTTTAAACATGTAGTTATTTAAAATCAACTCTAGTCCCATGTTATAAGTGAAAAAAGATATTTAATTCTATTTTAATACTGCATTATATATAAAGTGCTTTTTATATTTATGTAATATAGTCGGAAAAATATTAATTAATGGAATTAATATTAATTTCAGCAATTTTATATATACGTATATCTACAATATAGATTACGTTGTTATCTATAATATAGACAAATACATATATGAATCGGATGAAATTCTGTTAAAATATACTGAGATAATCGAATAATGAAAAAACGACTACAAATAAAAAAACTTGTACATTAAACAATTTTTGAACAGGTGCCTCTTTGAGCTTTTTAATATCGAAAAAACAACAGCAAGCAAGCATTTAGTAATAGTATTAGCAAGTAGTATTAAGGTAGATCAGTAGCTTGCATATTTTGGATTTTTCCATTGACTCTTTAGTTCGATGAAATTTTTACAGGATCAATGCAGAATCAAAATTTCAATTCAGGCAGATGTTTACGCTTTTTAATCCTGTAGTCCTGAACGGTTGAGCGAAAACAGAATTTGCTCAAAATGTAATTTTAATCGACTCGATTCTTGTTTGCAATACATGGCGCGATAGGCGGGAAATTAAACGCGACATATGAGACATTCAGCATGAGAGCGGAGCGAGCTTCGTAATTTATCGGGTGCACTTTGAACCACGCGAATGTTAAAAACTTATCCTATTAATTCACTTTGCACGGCGCACAAGGGTGGTGAAGGGCTGGCAAAGAACGCTGCGAAGCATCATCAGGACGAATCCGCTCGAAATCGCGAAACATTTCTCGAGATTGTGTTCTCAAGGGATTAAATCACTAGACGCGTACGCGCGCGCAAACCGAAATCGCTTTTACGTGTCACCGAGAGAAAGCAAATGGAATCTCGCGCGCGTTTTAGACACACTCTCGAAACTCGCGAGAATGCAAAGCGGGATAAAAGGAAATGGCCACACGGGAATAAACATGAGTGCGCCGGCACACAACTATGTCTGCATAACGAGCGGCCTCGTTGTGCAGACCTCGCGAGAGAGCGACGCTGCTAAATAATCACGCGATTTGCCGACTGTTGGTGCGAGGATCGCGAACAAGCCGCGGTCGCTACCTGACTGCACCTGTTTGTACAACGACAAACGATGCTACGTGAAAACGTTCGTCGGCGAGCAACTTCGTGTAATACAGTTGGCAAGAAGTTAAGGATCTTGTTAGACTTCAAAGTGCGCAATGGTGACAAAGTCTCTACTTTATGTATATAAAGTTCCCAAATACTCTCTAAAATATAACGTAATGTTAAAATATCCTTACATATATATATATATATATATATATATATATATATATATATATATATATATATATATATATATA